AAGGAGGTTCGGGAGGGCGCGGTGGGTGAATGCATCGCGGGGAAGGACGGAAAGAGATCCGGCGTCAGCGGGTGCCGCGAAAAGGAGGCATGTAAGGAGACGCAAAGGGGCCTAAAGCAATGCATCAGGCCTAGCGCAGTGCGCGTGGATTTCCCCCCGGGGAGAGCGGGGCGCTGATCCTATCCACGGTTGCTTTGCACGATAAGGCGTGATGGTCGGTACGTCGGTCCACGGCGCCATACATACCTGGATTTACGGGGTACTTTCTTTGGTGCGCTTTGCGTCACATCTTTGCCAGGGCTCCAGCGTCCTCCGCACTGGCCGTTGCCATTTCCTTAGGATTGAAGCTGAGAGAGCTCTGCTGCCAATTCTTCCAAGGAGGCTTCCGTTCCTTCCTTCCCGCTTTGTTGTACGGAAGCTGCGCTGCCCCTCTCCACTCCTACCTCCCCCTCCACATCAACCCCTTCCCTCCCAATCACCTCAATGCCCCATTCATTCGTCCCGTGCACCGGCCCCGCGCCCTCCCCCATCTCCCGGCAGTCCGTTTCCCTTCTCTGCCAAGCCCTACCCTTCCCTCGCCAGGTTTCTTGCCGTCGCCGGCACCAGATATTGCCACAATCCGGGTTCGGCCACAGGGTGTGCCGAGGGAAATGATCGGTCAACGCGCTGTACCCCAGGTAGTACGACAGGTCGCCGAAATCCAAAAGGTATTTGAGGGCGTTTTGCACCAACAATCCTGCGACGATGCCCATGGTGGTGGGTAAGGAAGCGGCACAGACCCCTTCCCGTCGCAAGGTGCTTTCCTCCACGCCCGAGGCCACCAGGAGTGGGGGAAGGCACTCAAAACACGCGGTTCGACCGGGGAAAAGCGTCTGGATATGCCCAGAGACCGCGTCTTCGCTCACGCCCGACTCCATCCACGCCACGTCCGCTTCGTTGCAAGCCTGGTTAATGGCAGTGCGGGCGGCATAGTTGTCGACGCAGCTTAGGACCAAATGGACGGGTGACCTTCCATCTGGACCGCCACGGCGGAGGCGGTCCAAGAAATGCTCAAAGTGCGGCACGCTTGTGACGTCGTAGGGGTGTCCCTCCAGACACACGTCCGGATTGATGCTTTCCAAAGTGGCCGTGGCGGCCTCCGTCTTGCGTAGGCCTGCATGTTCGGGTCGAAAAAAGAGACGGTTCATGTTGGCCAGCTCCACGACATCATAGTCAAAGAGCAGAAGCTTCCCAATTCCGCATCGAGTCAACATTTCGGCCGCCACAGACCCTACGCCGCCCAGACCAACAATGAGGACGGATACCTCTCGGATGCGTTCATACTCCTTCACAACGCCCATGCGTTTGAGCGCCATTAGACGGCTGTACGGATTGCTGTCTGTGACCTCTGCAGACATGTGGTCGATTTTGACGCGGCCAGGCCTAATCACGGGGGAAGACGTGGTTGTACATGGAGGAGGAGGCGAAGAGGCAGCAGTAACACTGTGGAGGGCTGCCCGGAGGGAGGTTATTTCAGCTTGAAGCGCCGCAATTACATCGGAAGAGGAAGCACACGGGTCCATGCTGATGACACGATGCCTTCTGCTGGTACTGAATACGTTTTTGGAGCGTTTAGCCCACGCGTCAAATACTTTTAAGTCCTTTCCACCAATTAAATCCTTGTTGTCCCTGCTTCCACATTCAACGGGTGGTATGTCTTGAAGTTTGCGATTTGGCAGTCGACCTGATGGCCAGGACATGGCAATAAAAGGCAAGGCTCGCGTGAAAACAGGCTCATGGTGAGGGATTTGGAGATGCTTAGTTGCCTTTCTAGTCGTCAAAGTGCTGCATGGGACCATGCCATTTCCAAACTACGTGCCATCACAGTAGAAGCTTCTAGGATCATTGGGGTCTTCCCTCGCTTCATCGCTGGGCTTGCGACATCAGCACATCGTGCGCCTTCCTAACTAATATTTGCGTTAGATTGTTCCTTGTGTCCATGGTGACCTGGTTTGTTCGAGTGGACTGTGCATAGACGGGGAAAGTGGATCAAGCGTCCCTCATTGCATGCCCGTACCTTTCTTGCACTCCTTCCCATCTATGCCTCGGAATCCATCGCACGCGCTTCTGAAGCCCAGTTACTCAGCTTCCCTCCTTGTGTCTCTCACTCGCTCACAGAGATTCATGAACTCCCGCTTATTTGCTGTCAGCGCATGCAGGAGAGCTGTGAGTGCTAGGCAGCGGCAGCCCACTTCAACAGTATCTCGGATCGCCCTCCGCGGTTTTGCTTCGTCCAAACATCCTCCTTCCTCT